GGATATCTGAGGCTCTGCTGTAGGACAGCAGAAAAGGAATGCAGCAACAAGCACAGGAAAAAAGACAAGAAGTAAATGGGTAGGAAAGAGTGAAAGACAGTATGCTGGGCTCAGAGGAAATACACATAAACACTCCTGAAGATAAACCTCAAGTTTTCTTTACTAACGAGAAAGTAAGGTCTTCCCAACACAGCCTTGAATTGCAACATTTCTAACAATTGGACTAAAAATGATCCTTCCCTCAGAAATTACTTCACTGAAAGCTAAATTAAGCCTACATGCCTTGGCAGCTAACAGAGATTTGAAACTAACATGTTTATTTGCATCGTCACCTCACCCATAATGGAGAAAGGAGAATTTTCTGTTTACAATACAGCGTAGCACTGACTCCTCTGCCTTCCTCACTATCTAGAATTGATAAGAGGCTTTTTCTGGCCACAGTTTCTTTTGGCAGATATTTGCTAAAAACCTTTGGCACAACAACATGGATTTATGCAACACAACACTGCCATCAGATCTCTCTCCGAGTTCTCTATTCCTGTCGGCTTCCTTGCAGAAAGCAGGTGTGTTGAATGAGAAAAAGTCCTGGGTGGGAAGAGATATCTTACTGAATGGGCTTAATTTTACTGCTAGAAAGACAGTTCATCATAATTACAATGAACAATCTAGAAAGCGGTCATTATTTCTTACTCCAGTATCTCTGAACATTGAAAACTGAAGCCTGCAGGAATGTATGAAGTTCAGCCCATACATTCAAAGCTTCTTTTCCTGTTGGACAGGCACACAGTTTCCACCAAGAATGTGTGATCCAATGCTGTGAACCTGTTTCATGCTGCAGTACCATTCTGCAAGTTGAGATAAGACACTGCTCTCCTATTAAAAATTGGATTCGTTTTTTTCAGCAGGGGGTGGGGCAAGATTTCAAACACCTTCAGAAATCATATTCCTACATTCTGAATTTTCAGAAGAGCTGGGTGAGGGGAGTTCTATTTTCTTTTCGGTAAGTCGTAGTGTGCAAATCAAGTTTAATAAAACAAGGCTTAGATACAAAAGAAACAAGTCTTCCTAAGACTATCTAAACACTTGAGTTGGTCTATGCTCGCACTGTAATCATATGCAAACTGGCTACAGCAGCAATCATTAAATATACAAATAGCAACTTTTCTGGAGTGGGACAGCTAGAATAGCTGCTGGGATTTGCTTTCATTATTCCTTAATACATACAGGTACAAGTAATAAGAGTAATAAAAGTAATTATAGTAAGTATTAAGCTGAGCTCGCAAAAGCAGACAATAACCTGCCACAGCCAATAAAGTATTCTGATATTTAGCATTTAAGTATTAAAGAAATAATCAATAGATACAAACCTCTTCTTTCGTTTTCTTGTTTTCTGCTCTAAGTTCTTCATATTCGCCAATAGCTAAGAAGAAAAAAAAAGGAAAAAGTTAATATTGCAGCACCTCATTTACCCAAATTAGCACTCCATTTCATTCATTTTAAAGCTCTTCTGGCTATCTACACAGACTTCTTAAATAACATGGGTCATAAACTTCATTAATAGCCTATGGATGAACTGGATATCCTTTTAGAATTGGAAGTAATTGGAAAGTGTCTGAAAAAGATGGTGGCTCGTAAAACAATCAATTTTTGATCAATGGAGAGTTAAACAATCTTATTGATTGAGTTCAAAAATTACAAGGTGAATGTACTGGCTTGCAGTCACCATTTTAAACCCACACTGGCTCAGGTTACAGATCAATGCCAGAAAGCACGGTTAACGCAATACTGTTACCTGTATGTACCTCCAGAGTAGCTCAGCACCTTTATTTATTTATTTATTTATGTAGTAACATTTTCTTCCAACAAGAGTCCTATGAGAGATTTTTTTTCTTTAAACTCCACAGTGGAGACATGAGAAGACTGCACGATTTACCCAAGATCACACAGGAACTCAGCTGTAGGGATCAGCAGGGAAGGGATCAACCTCCAGGATGCTGGAGGTCTGTTGTTTCAAACCAGTAAATAATACGCAGAAACAATTGATCAGCTGCCAATTAAGCTTCCAGTTTACTGTGTATTTTTGTGTGCCCTTCTTAAACTTTTTATTTTACTACCTTAGGGACGTGCCATTGTTCCCCCAACCTCCCAATTCTATTGTTCTTTCAGTGTGTCCCACATGGGCTTTTTGGCTTTTGAGACCATAGAAGTTTTATTGTCACTAGAAAGAAGCCAAAAACACCTCCCAACATTAGAGAAACAAACCTTGCTAGAAAGGAACATTCAAGATGCATACTGCAAGAATAAAATGAGAGGGCTGTTGACATCTGTATCTTATTCCAGCTCCTCAGTATCTCCTCCATTTTTTTCTTGTACCTAACAGAAGCTACACTAGCATACAGGTGTTACTTCAAGCCACTTAATTAAAATCATATAAAGATTATTAATATATATAGTTTTCAGCTGATGAGAGCAGGTATTTTGGAGTTTCGTCTTAAACTTAACATGTCTTACCCTACATCTGAAGATATGAATGTGTAGAGTCTGGTAGATTAGCCACCTCAAAAACCTACTAGCCCCTTCTAGCTTTAGATAGTCAAACTTTTTCAAACAAGAAGCTCTTATAAAGTTACACTTTACGCTGTTTTGTTGTCCCTCTTCTCCCTCCCCATCATTTCCAGACCTATTGAAAGAAAAGTAATTCAACTCACTCCTGAACACTAGGTCCATGGCATCACCGTTCTGCTTGCCTTCGGCATGAATATTACTCTCAGCAGCAGCACAGAAGTATCTCAGATGTAAAAAACTCCAATTATCCTAACTCCTCTTTTCTCCATGATCACTCCAATTTCAGAAATGTGGGACTGACATACATTAAGTCTGGATACTAGCCCCTGGGCTAGTAACTCAAAACACAGGACTCTGCTCCTGACGTGCCCAGACCAGCAACAGGGAAATGGCAAGGTGCTGTGGGCTACATTAGCTAGAAAGGGAAACTGAGGAACAGTACAAATCTCTTCGCCAGAATCTCAGCTCTGCTCTTACCAGCAAGTGTTGAAAAATTTCCAGGGTTCTCAAAGGAAAAATGTTAAATTAAACCACTGAAAGCAAAGTCACAGGCCACATGCAAACTCATGGAAAAAATCCTCCCTCCTGCTCATCCAAGTAAAAAGATTTATCTAAAGAGTGAGATGAACACAACCAGATTTCTTAAAAATGCGACCTGCATCCCTGCACCAGTAAAACCCAGGTCTCTCATCCATCCCTTTACTTTGTCTCCACTCTCCTTACCTACCCGAGACCCCTACCCAACTCCCATAATCAAGAAGCAGAAAAAACCAACAGGTAGATGAGCAGGGACACCACACTGATGCAGTTGCTCTAAGAACAGGCACCTAAAGTGAAACATATTTCCTACACAGGAACAGAAAAGCCATTAATCACTGTTCCACTTCTAAGCCATTTCCCTGTTCTCTTCAGGCTAACAGGAAGAGATTTCTAGCATCCAGATGCAAGAAAAGGAATGAAAACTGTATCAACGGATACAGTTCAAGCTTCTTCATACTTGCAAATGGCTAGCATTTGCTCGCCTTTAAGTCAAACTCATACTTGCTACTCAATACTTCATAAATGACTGGAAAATGTAAATACAGGTTTGCCCCACCCTTGAAAGTTCTCCTCTCCATGAACCAAGAACTCTGAATCACCAGCCCTTAAGGCATGAATACAAGAACAAGTTACCCGAACCCGAGGATACGAACTTACACAACACTCCCGCAATCCCCAGTAAGGGCTCACCCGTGAGACTGGAAATTAAACTGCCTCTTCAGGGGGTAGCCCGCCCTTCCTTTACTGCAGATGGTAAACTATGGCACATTTGTCTTGGAACCCAAACTCAAAACCATCAGATACTCTATGCTGAACTCACACAGCAACTTCAGAGCCTTTTTACCATGCCCAACCCCTTACTGTCCTTGCAAAACCATTAGATTTTCCTTCAATACAGCTAATACATAGTAAGGGTCTGGTGTCTTAAAATAAGATTGTTCTTCATGGGTGGCAACATTTAGATGATGCTCCCATACAAATCCCATCATTCAGATTTTTGGGTATGGATTTATAAAGCACTAAATCTAATGAAGAAACTGCTGCTTTTATCAGACCTGGAAACAGAAATAATAATTTTAAAATGACTACACACACTTTATGCTGTATATCAGATTCTCTGCAAAGGCAGAAGACGACTCAGAAGTTATAAAGTGTGTCTGGGAAGTTGGTGGATTTTTTTTCTTTTTTTGAACATTAGATGGTGTTGTTACTGGGAAGTTTTTATATGACGTTTTTCAAGTGGTTTATGCACAATGAAATTTTGAGGCCATCTCAAAAAAGAAAAGAGTCTACATAACCTCCACTGAAGCACTAAATGGCGTAAAGGTGACAATGATCTCTTTGCTCTAAAACTACCCTAGAACAATTAATACCAGCAGTGCCAGGCAACACTTCACACGTTCCAAATCTCATATAGATTATTGAGCCTTAAAACCTCTTTGGAAGATTAAGAGGCACCATTACCACTCCTAAATTGACAAGCCATAAATCCTGTTGTATGAGGAATTCCCTAAACCTTCTCTGAGATGCAGGACTACTTTTTCTCCTTAACCTATGAAGGCTCTCACACAATGTACATGACGGTAACTGAGCATCTTCAAAACTTCTTACATCTCACCTTGACTCAATCAGACAATGTCATATATAAATTATCCTAAAATAAAGATATCTCTTTCCAATAAATTAGTGGTGAATGAAGCAAACAAGTGAAAACGCTTTACTAAAGGTGCTACTAAAATCCCAGAATTATAAATCATTTTCTCAAAGAATCAATATTGTAGGATGTATTGATAGTAAAATGTCTACTCATCAGCTTCCAGTGAGTCCTGAAGAAGTGTAATAAACACATATCAGAGACCTCTTGAAATATTGTCACTGTCTGATGCTAACTTAAGTTTGTCCCTAACAGAATTATTCCTGATATACAACAGTATTATATAAAATATTTATCAGGATCCAAACCACATTTTACTTCAGACTACCTTCATACAGCCTGAGAGTGGCACTACAACTTAATTTCAAGACTAAGGAAAGAAAAAAGCTGAAAAAATGAGAAAATAGCAGAATATTTTGGGCTACAAATATTTTGGGTACCCAAAATGTATTCCGAGCCCACCCTGCTCTTATTGTAGCTCTTAACGTACCCAAAATGTATTCCGAGCCCACCCTGCTCTTATTGTAAAAGTCAAACCACAAAATAGTCAACACAAGTGAACACAGCACGTTCCTTCATAACATGAACATACCCATGCCCCAACTGCTCACCCCTCAGCTCAGATGGGCAGGAGAGACTGTCCTGTCAACGTGTATCAATGCACTTTGTCTGCATTAAATTAAGCAGGTAATTTTGTATATAGAAGCTCCTTTAATTATATCTTAGTCTTCTGATTTTTAGTTGTGAACCTGTGTCTCCTGAACATGGATTTGCTAACAGAAGATATGTATTATCTAAATTAGATGTTTTATATATTAGATACTTATTATGGCTAAAAAGCACTTATTAGTAAAACAAGGTCATAAGGGTAAAAGTATGTAATGACTATAATCCATAGTGAACAACAGAAAAGACACCTTAATTTACACAGAGTGAGGTGGTGAGAATCTTCCTACTCTCTTTATTAAAAAATTCATCAACCTCTTTTCTAAAGCCATATATTAAAAAAATACAAATTAAAAAAACCCAACCTTTGAAATGCTACATGCATATACTCTAGCACTTACATTGTAAACCAGGGTGGCCTTCAAGCAGATTGAGAGCCCTTCCACGCCAAATCAACAAGAAATACCACCTCAGCATTTCAACCGTACTTATTTAATCAAAAAGTAAGCAGAGCTGTCAAGGAAAGCAAGTGTCATTCCACTATTTATTCTTCCAGACTACGGCCTGGGCATGTCTGTACTGGTACAGGCAAGAGAAAGAGCTTACAGCGCAAGAAGTCCTTCACTCTGGATGAAACAAGCTAACCTAACGAAGTAATTTTTTGTCAGTAGAAGTAAATTAGCACCTGGCTTTTTGCAGGTTCAGATAGATCATTAGACAGAGAATTACCCTTGACAGCAACATGCCACCAGAAGCTTTAACGGAGCTCCCACCACCCTCCTCCTCCCAGCACACCTGGAATAGGAACAGTCAGGTCAAGTCTGTTGTACAAACCATCTCTCCAATAGCAATGGTCTCTCTACAGGCAAAGCATGCACAAGACCTGTGAATTTCTGTCAAGAGTATCAACAAAAGTTAAAAGGGCTCAATTTTTCCTCTTGTTGTCCCTTCTGCTAAACCCAGGTGATCTCTATTTCAATGGGACACAGCAGCAC